AACCCAGCCTCCTCTGGAGTCAGCCCAGAAGAGGAACCCTTAACAGCACCTGAGGGAGAAGAGGCCTCAGCAACTGCACAGGAGGGGCAGCCAGAGGGAGAGACTGATCCAGAGCCTGGCCCAGCACCCCCAGGTGGAGACACCCCAAGGCCAGAATCCCCACCTAGTTCTCCTGAGTGTCCCAGATGCAGGGAATGCCAGCGGCTGAATGTGCAAGAGTGAAGGAAGAGTGCCAGACTGCAGCTCTTGCAAAGGCAAAGTGAGGGGCTGTGAGTCTTGGCAGAATAACTCCCAGGGAAGGGAGGACCTAGTCATAAACACCCCCAAGCACCTGCCTCAGCGTGGAAGCAACTGTATGTGCTGGGACCTGATCCTGGCTGTTAGCCTCCGCTCCTTGCTCCTGCAGCCTTTGACTGATTTCCCAGCTTTCTGACTTTCAGCTCTGTTGCTCGACTTGATTTTGGACTGTGTATCCAGTTTCAAGTGCATGGTATCTGTGGTGACCAGCTGACCCAGCACAGATACTAAAAATTATTTCAAAGGGAGTCATCACATAAACACTCCCAGGTTTCCATGAATGGCCAGGGTGGGGGGAGAGTTATAATAATTAAATTGGCAGAGATTGAGGTTAAGACCATAACACTAGGGCACACAATGTTTTGTATGACACAATTGGGTACAAGATGGTGAAGTATGTACTGGGAAAATATTGAAAAGACAAAAGGGAGAATGAAGAGAACTCTGTGGCCCCAATTTTTAATTTTTTTATTAATAAGCAAGTTTTACAAAATTCATTTATCACATCACACATATTATAAGAACTATTACAGAAAATGGACAAGATTAAAAATTCAAAAGGTAGCTTTGTCAGAATAGGGCTTTATCAAACTGGCTGGTATTTGCAGTTACATAATTAGAAATATTTTCTCAATTTGGATCTTACAAAAGACAAAAAAAAAGTAATATATAAAACAGCCGACTAATGAAGACTGTTGAGGTATCTCAACACATTAAAGATTCATAAAATATATTCTATTGCATCTCAGAGAGGTGTTGAGGAACAGTTTCCTATTGAAGATTAGCAACTGAATTTACTTAGGGCCACTTTAAAGCACCAGTGCTTCCAAAGTGCAATACCAACACATAAATAATGCAAAGCCAAGGCAAGAAAATGCATATTTCCACATCACTGAAACAAAAAGCCAAAACTCTCAGAGTTACAGGGCTTGGATTAATCCAAGTAAAAAAATGATAAGGATTTTCCAGATTCTTTGGAATTGTATCTATATTCCTTTCATTTGACTTCGTTCAAAATTCCATATTCCCTTCAAACCTTGGGCCCATTCATTTAGTATCCATCCATCTATCCATGTATATTTTAAGTAGCAAGCCATTACTCTGTTAGAAGAAATTCCTTTCAGCACTTGTAAACATATTGAATATAACTGTGAGACGTCAGGAACAGATGGGGAAGTGGGGCAAACAGATGGGAAAACTTCACTCCCAAAAAGAAAAAAAAAGATTGATATGTAAGCTACTTTGAACAAATATTTCATTATTAAGAACCTATGGGATTTTAAAATCCATATCAGAACTATAAAAGCCATGTATTCTATGCCTCTAAAGGACAATATGGAGTAAGTTCTATTAGGTAAATAAGATACAATTGTTATTTGCTTTTCCTGTATTGTAGCTTGTCTTGAAGAATGGGCACGAACCAGAAAAATGTGGCTTGTGTTGGTTCATGGTTTGTGGCCAAACCACAAACCCAACTAGGAAGTTTGTTTGTGAACTGAACTAGTTCATGGTTTGTGACCTTGCAAACCCCATTGAGAGGGACCACAGTCTCTTTAAACCAGGGGTCATTTCGTAGAAAAAGAGCTAGGGGAACTCATTAGCATAACTCATTAGCATATGCCACACCCCCTGACATCAGGGGCCCGGCGGTGGACCTGCAAGGCCAGCGGGAGTGCGAGGAAGCCCTGCCAAGGCCCTCCCTGGCCCCAGGCAGGCACGGGTGGGGAGAGGCGGGGAGAAAGCAACTAACCCTCCCTCTTTGGTGTAGTGGTTAAGTGTGCCTCCTGGCTGAATGAGGGCTGGAAGCGGGGTGGCCGGAAGCATGGGGCGGGGCTTTGTCATGTGCCCCGCCCCCCTGCACCTCACACGGGGGAATTGTGTTCCCCCGCGTTCTCCCCTGAAATGACCTCTGCTTTAAACAGGGTTTGCAGAAAGCTTGAAAATGTCTTTTTGCAGTCCCTTTAAAGCTTCTCTGCCACTCAGCTGTTTTTGTGGCTTTTGCAGGGAACAGAAAGCAGTTTAAAGGTACTCAGAGTCCCTTTTGAGAATTAAATATATTGATGCATTCATTTACTTTAAATGTGTATACTTCATAGTTTAGCTATGCCAGCTCCTAAGGCAGAGCTGTACAGTATATATAAAACAGGTCTTTTTCAGGGTTATTACTCAGTTATGATGAATATTTTGATCACATACGAAAAAGAGCTGAGGAAGCTCTGAACATGTTGGGTCTATGCCAGTGGATACTTGCATCTTGTTTCTGGCAGCAAAAGTGTACCAGCCTAATATCACTGGTCAGTTTGTAATGCCACAAGCAATAATGAAATCACACCACATTGTGAGTAGTGTCTGATGCCACAATGCTATTAGTATCAGGTTGCTAATCAGATTTCAAAATGGGGAACTTTACTATGAAGTTTTAACAGTTAGGAAAATGCGTATTTTAAAGGGGTACCCATAACTCACCTTTTGCCCATCCACTTCCTAAGTATAAACGTAACCTAGAATCAACTTCTGTCAGTATCATTATGACAAATATAGAGCTCAATATGGAAATGAACATCTGGGAGGCTACTGTCAGACAGTGAGTTGTCACTTGGCAGGGTAGCAGAAGCTTCCTGTAGCAGGTTGACTGTAACTGACTGTGAGCTGGGACCTTCTTTGCCTACTTGCCCCTCTGGGGCAAGTGATGCTCTGTCATCTTGGTGCTTTGGGGGGTCAACAGTGGGATGGCTTCTAATGTCCTGGCCCCACTGGTGGACCTCCTGATGGCACTGGTATTTCTGGCCACTGTGTGATACAGAGTGTTGGACTGGATGGGCCTTTGGCCTGATCCAACATTGGCATCTCTTATGTTCTTATGTTCTTTCCCAGAGTCCTCTGCCTCTTCAGCATTGGCTGTGCTAAGCTGAGCCACAACAGGTGGACTCTAATATGGAGAACTGGGTTTAATTCCTCACTCCTCCCCTTGAAGCCGACTGGGTGACCTTGGGCCAGAACTTGGGCCAGAACTCTCTCAGCCCCACCTACCTCACAAGGGGACTGTTTGTGGGGAGAAGAAGGGAAGGTGACTGTAATCCACTTTGAGACTGCTTCTGGTAGAGAAAAGTGGGGTATAAAAACCAACTCTTCTTCCTCTTCTTCATAGGATTCCCTGGCCTCACCCCATCTGGCTTTTCACTAATCTCCTTCCACCTGCTCCACTTCGGAGACTACAAAAGGAAAGGGAAGCCGTTTTGTGACGGTCTAAAGGTTTGCTGATGGACAGCCGCGAAGCAGGAGAGCTGCTGGGTCACATGACTGAGAGTTGTGGGGGCAGGTTGCTCGGAATTCTCAGTGAAGTGACAGTTCACAGCTGAGAGTTGACGGAGTGTTAGCTGGAGAGCTCTTGAGAGAGAAGGAGCCTCTGAAGCTGGGTGATACAGCAAGCCATCAGTTTGAGGAAAACCGGGGCTGGGTAATGCTCCTACTGGTCATCTCTAAAGAGAGAGGGTAGTGAGCTGAGAGGAGAAACTAAATAACTCCTCAGTAGTCATAAAGCAAAACACACACTTCTCCAAGGGAACTTGTGAGCAATGTTCCCTCTAAGCCGTCTGGGAGCCTGAAAGAGACTGGGAAATAGCTGGAATAAGCTCACCAGTCAGTCTCAGAGAGCCAGACAGAGAAAGTCCAAGGTCTAACCACAGAGAGTTAAATCTAGGGTTGCCAAATACCTTTTTGTTCTGCGGCGGGGGGCTCCCAGACGGCGTCTTGAGTGCACGTTTTCCCCTCAGATGGCTGTGACCCCACCCCGGCGTCAGCACATCACATCCGGCTGACGTGCACGCCGGGGTGGGTTTTCCCCCGGAGCCAGATTCCGCGGCGGCGGAAATCGGGCCTCCAAAGCGGGGGGAAATCTGCCCCCCAGGGGGAATTGTCAGCCCTAGTTAAATCTGTACCAAAGACAGTCTGTGACCAACTTAGTGTTTTATAACTACAGCCTGTATTAATGCAGAGAGACCGAGAGAGTGAGAGAAGCACTCATACAAACAGCAACAATATATCCTGTGTAAATATCCCACCCTCGGCTGTGTTTCTGTGAAATAAAGAGTTGTGCAATTTGGCTTTAAAAAGCACTGGTGCCTGACGTCTTGATAAGGATTCATACTGGCAGATATCCTCCATCCACAAGAGACACAAACCCTGAAGAAACTTTTTAGTGCAAACTGGTCATCCCTTAGAAAAGCGAGGTGATCAGACATAACAGAGTAATAATCTGAATCCAGTATATAGTATATATAGAAGACCCACGCCCTTCCCTCGCCCGCTCGGCTGGGTACGTTGCACCTTTCGTATACCTTTCCTCTGCTGCCTGTCTCCTTGCCCTGCTCCTTCCCCTTGCTTCTCCCATGACCCTCCCCACCTCCACTTGGTTCCCTGCCTTATTTTTAGCTGTGTCAGAGCAACCTGCCTGGGTCTCAGCCACCTCCCTCTCCTGGCCTTCCTCCCATCAGTGAGTCTGGGTTCCCACTGTTCTCAGGGCAGGGTTGAGCTGAGACCAGGCATTGGCTCCAGGCCATTCAATAGAGTGGGCATATGTGTATATTAAAAAAATAATAATAAATGAAAGTTTTACAGATGCTATATCAATCAGAAGGTCAATATATGAGCAAGCGTAAGAGAAAAGAGAAATATACTCATGCGTACCATGATACAAGTACTGGTTACAGCTCCTTTAAGAAATGCAGCAGAGGTTCCAAAGGCATATCTTGACCAGGACGGGAATGTTGAAATGCTTTGTCAATTTTCAGTGGACTAAGGCACAGATCATAAATTTGGTTGTAGTTATGGATCAAGCGTTTGGCTTTTTCCCTGTTTAACTTGCCTGTATATAATTACAAAAACAAATGAGGTTTGTAAGCTTGTATCTTTCTCCACTAAAACCTAGCCCATTGGAACAAAGACAGACTTAAATACTGAGCTAATGCCACTCCAAGGAACCACAAAGAAGAAATATCTATTTAATTCTGAGATACCAATAATTGGCAGTTGCTTAATATTTGTCTCAGTCAACCACAGATGAATATAAAATTTATTTCAAAGAGCTGCCAACTCCACCAAATATCCATTCATGAGAATTCTTGCCTGTGTTTTTGATATCAGACAAATAAAGGGCTTTCTCCAGTTTCCTGAACCGGTCTATCCAGGCATCTCGTTCCTCAGAATCACTGGAGTCAGGTGTATCATACTTTTCTTGCTTCCAAGTCTTGGCAGCCAGACCACTGTGCTCTTCTTTATCCACCTGCAAAGAAATAAATAAATGAGATAAATTCAAAAGTTTAACACTACTTAACTTTCTGTTCAAGAGCAGACGGGGAGCAGGGAATCATAATAGCTTCAGTGTCATCTTCAGATACAAGATTGCTTTACCTGGTACTTAGAAATGGACACTGCATATTCTTGCCCATGCTCCTGTCCTCTACGATAAAATTACTTGGGATGTTTGAATATTTGGGTTTCATTGACAGCCTGAATTGTGCGGAACAAATTTGCTCTAATTTTTTCTTTTTACTTTGAAGTAAGATCAATATTTTCAGGGACAAGCCTACATGGTTATAGTTATTAGTTTTTGATTGTGCGTGTTGTCATTTTCGTTGGTTTCAGTCAGTCTCATTTTCATTGCTGTGGAGGATGAGTCTTTTGCCTTTTTAATGCCATTTTAAACATTTATGTGTACATACCATTTATGCACCATTTATAAGAACACACCTTTTATGCCATTTATGTACAATTTTTGCAATTCCAAATCCTATTATATTGCTTACTAGATGGATCATCCTATTGATCAAACTGATTTACATTGTGTAATCCACCTTAATTCTCAGTGAGAAAAGCACACTATAAATAAATAAATATGCAAATACTATACAAAGAATGTTGAGAGATGCATATATTGTCATTAGAAAAACTTGGTATGATGAAAGAAAAACTTGGTGGAAATACTCAGATTTATTTCCTACAAGGGAGAAGCAAAATTGAAAACTGATATTCAAGCTGAACTAGGAAGCTTGTGAAAGTCAGTCTCATGCCTAACCATTTTACATAGTTTGGCATGGTATAAGTAGAGGATGATGAATATGGGAAGAATTTCTAGGTATTTTGTCCATACTGTGAAGTTTCGAGTATAAACATTTACAAATCAAGGCCAAATTAGGCTTTACCAAAATGGCATTCCCTATTCTTGACTGTTACACATGCAGCCAGTACAGGTGGAGCAGCCAAAAAGAGGGAAGCAACTCCCCTTCAGTGCCATTTCTGGTCAGAAAAAAATGACATGCCAGTGAAAGCAAGAGTTCCCACAGCTGCTTGATAGCTTCAGTGAGAGAGTGTCCAGTTCAGGAAACCGAGATTCCCTCTTTTAAAAAAGGAATGTCTAGTTTGACCTTCAGACTGTCTTAATAATAATAAACATATGTTTTTGACAATACCTGAGAGTCATCTTCATTTTTTCCTCCTAAAAAGAAAAATGGCAAATTGTTTTATGCAGTTGAAAGAGTGGGATGTCATTTGCCTAGAATAGGGTTCTCTAAGATATGCATGAGGATGTAAATTTCTGAAGTACCAGGTGGTAGTGTAAATAATATCTCAACACTGACATTGGACATATTCAACCTTGATTCTATTTTCAATTTACTTTAGCATTTCAGCAAAATGTTGAAAAAGATAATATTGTCACACTCCTTTGAATGACTCATAAAAACATCTTACCCAGGGTTTTTTTTTGTAGAAAAAGCCCAGCAGGAACTCATTAGCATAATAGGCCACACCCAACTGCAGAAACTCATTCGCATATTAGGCCACACCTTGACAGCACAGCTCATTAGCATATTAGACCACACCCCCATGTTACCAGAAGTGTGGTCATCCAGCCACACCCACTTTTTGCTTCTTATTCTGTTTACTTTGTTTATTCTCAAAACTCAGGGCTTTTTTGGTAGCAGGAACTTCTTTGCATATTAGGCCACAAACCCCTAATGTAGCCAATCCTAATGAGTTTCTGCTGTTGGATGTGGCCTATTATGCTAATGAGTTCCTGCTGGGTGTGACCAACTCAGGAGCCAGCCGGAACTCCATTCCTGTGCGTTCCTGCCCAAAAATAGCCCTGATCTTACCCAGGTATAGAAGCCAGCTTTTGTGTACATGCTCTAAACTGGATAACTGAAGAACCATGAGCACAAATAGGTGCAATGTGCATTTTCCATAGCTTAATTCAGCAGCCAATGCTGCATGCAGATGGCCCTGGTCAGAAAAGCAGTAATAGCACCAATCTGGAGAAGGGCTAGATTTAGAGCTGATTGGCCTGTATCTGCACCGGAAGTTGCTGGTCATTAGTAGACTTCCTGCAAAGTGCTGTGTGAGCTACTTGTGTCTTGGCTACCTCTAGCAGACACCTGTTTAGTAAAGACATAAGGCTCAATTTCCTCCAGTTCTCTATTCAGTGGTGTTTTCAATACTTCTCCCTTACCTCACCAGCCACTGCAATGTATACTGAGAGCCAATTTGGTGTAGTGGTTAGGTGTGCAGACTCTAATCTGGGAGAACTGGGTTTGATTCCCCACTCCGCTACTTGCAGCTGCTGGATGAACTTGGGCAAGCCATAGTTCTGCCAGAGCTGTTCTTGAAAGAGCAGTTCTTGAAAGAGCTCTTTCGGCCCCGCCTACCTCACAGGGCGTCTGTTGTGCGGAGGGGAAGGGAAAGGAATTTGTAAGCCGCTCTGAGACTCTGAGTGAAGGGTGGGGTATAAATCCAAATTCTTCTTCTTCTCTTCTTCTTCTTCTACTGCTATATTTGAAAATCATGTGAAAGTTTATTTTTCCTTATTTCTATATCTTCTAAAGATTCCCTCAGAAAATATGTTACTGCAGCATAGGGTTTCCAAGTCCCTCCTGGCTACTGGCAGAGAATTGGGGGGGAGGATTTACCAGGAGAAACCACAATGCCCAGACCAGGTTGCTGGCATTGCACGGGAAATGATGTTATCATGCTGTGATGCTCTGGTATTTGGGCAAAAACTTTATGGTAAAATTAGTTTCTAACGTAGAGTTTTCATCCAAATACCAGATCATTGCTTGGATATTGCTGGTGTGATGACATCACTTCCTGTGTGATGCCAGCAACCTTGTCTGGGCATTGTGCTTTCTCCTGCTAAGTCCTCCACTGGTTAGCTGGTCAGCGGCTGGGGACAGGTTCTGGCAGTGGGGGACCCCAGCCTCCACCAGGGGGTATAGCAACCCTACTGCAGCAGGGCTGCAGCTGGGTGAGTATTATGTTTAAGAGGGAAGGCTCAGAGGAAGTATTGACACAAACTTGTTCTTAGGAAATAAACATACACTTTCAAGGCTAGACCTAATAGAATGTATAGTCTCTTGGAGTTGGGCAAGGTGCAAAGTATTATCTCTGCGATAGCAGGGGTGGTCTTAGTGATTCTGCTGGAGGGTTGCCAATTGTGGGCTGGGAAATTCCTGGAGATTTAGGAGTGGAGCCTGGGGAGAACAGGGTTTAGGGACAGGAGAGACCTCAGCGGGGTGTGATGCCATTAGAGTCCACCCTCCAAACAGCCATTTTCTCCAGGGAAATTGATCTCTGTAGTCTGGAGATCAGTTGTAATTCTGGGAGGTCTCCATGCCCCACTTAGAGGTTGACAACCCTATTTTGGTGCCCTGGGGAAAAGTCAAAGTGTGGAAGACAAGAGGGGGTGTTGCAACAGCATTATGTCTCTTTCAGGGAAAACCCATAAGTGATGTCTGGCCTCCATATGAATCACTGGAAATTACATGGTTTCCTAGAGAGGCACAGTGACATTTCCAGGGTTTCCACAGAAGTGACGTAACACCATCACACCACTCATGATTTTTTACTCAATTTTTCTTCTGCTGACCACTGGAATTGGCAGTGGGCAATGGGAGCTGAGAGATCCTAATGTGGGCATGCTTCCTGTTCCCAGGGCCAGGGCTTGGCTTCATGGTGAAAACCTAGCTTCAAATTAAGCACTGAAGTTGATTCTTCTAGGAGCCACTTAACAGAAGTTAATTTTCTTACTAACCTGTAATGTATCCAGCTTTGACCGTGTGCGCGGCTAGGTCGTCACATGGTCATGCGAAGCGGCCGAGCTTTGCTCTCAGGGACAATGGGCCAAGCGGATCCTAGCCCGCTCCAATCGGAGGGCTAGGCTCCAGGCCGAGAGCCCATGGAACTCTTGGCCACTGTAAATAGCCTATGACAATTGTAGGGGTGTGTTTGGGGTGTGGGTTGCTTGCCTTTATGAACCGACCTGTGAGCCGGTAGTTCTTGTCTTGTTCTGAGCTGAAACAAAGTATGAGAGCTGAAATCGCTACTAAGTCTCAGTACTTTTCATACCCTATCATTTGTAGTCAAGTGTCATGTTTTGCTTATTAAGGTAGCACAAGTGGTTACGCTCATCACAAATGACACCATATGTACTTTTCTCTATGAAGCAGAAATATTCATGCAGATCTATGTCATAAAACTGGTTTAGTTTTCAGTCTTAGTACAGTGCAAGCAGCTTAGCATGGTACAAGCATCCCGATCATTCTCAGACAGTAGCGATTATTGTAATTTTCTCAGTGTTTAGTCACCTCCTGGATATTACTGGGACACCTTACAGAGTAATCTGTAGAAACTGGGGGATATTTCAACAGTTTTCTACACAATGCTAAAATACAGTTGACTGCTTGCTGTGGTTAGATTTCATCAAAAACAGCAATGATCTAGCTTACTTCTGTATACAAGAAAGGAAGGATCTACCCCATCCTGAACTTCCTTCAGAAACTCCACAAATGATTTCCACCTGCATTAAGAAAACAGTTCAAAATTAAATGCAGCATTTGAAAATAAACTGGCAATTTCATAAGATTCTCTGTCATAATTTCTCATATTATGTCTATATTAAGATTAAATGCAAAAACAAAAGCATTAAAATAAATGCCCCATTTCCTTGTCCTTTCGGCCTTTGGCTAGTTCTTTTGTTTTTGCTTTGTATAGACCATAAATTCTCTTGTACTTCTTTCTCACCACTTGTGTTTCCTTATTGTGTTCCTTCTTATTATTCTAAACCAATTTACCTCTTTCTCATGTACTTTCATTAGCCTTCATTTACTACTACAAGTTAACAAGATCTCTCTTATTCTGGTTTTGACTCTATTCCTCATTACACCGATCTGCTGCTTTTCCTCATGTTCTCTATTTAATTGATTTCTGTTGTTAATAAATCAATTATTTTCATGATGCCTTGAATTATCACATATTTTTGGTCTTTTGTTCTCCATGAAACCCAAATCCATCTGTGACTCTTACAGCTTATTCTTTTGGTTCCTTTTTCTTTTCCCATATTGGTGACAGTGGTGGAGTTAATTTTCTTCTATCTGTCGGTGTTACAGATATGCATTTGGATATTGACTAACTAAAACCCAAACTAAAAAACTTCAAATTGTTATTGTAATTATTATAAGCAATCCAAACAACAACAATAAAATAACAATAGATCCTGTTGGTCAGCCGTGTTGATCTGAAGCAGTAGAGCAAATGTAGAGTCCAGTGGAACCTTTAAGACCAACAAAGGTTTATTCGAGGTATGAGCTTTCGTGTACATACACATGTATTTGAAAAAGTGTGCATGCACACAAAAGCTAATATTTTGAATAAATCTTTGTTGGTATTAAAGGTCCCACTGGACTCTAAATTTGTTCAAAAAAATAACAAATTGAACTTTTCAAAAATCTTTGCTTCTAGCCTTGTTCTGTTGCCTGCTTGTCTGAGTTAGGATGGGGAGACTCACTCAGCAGATATGTAAGTGATGGAGATATTTACCATTTAGCTGTCACGCAGATCTTGCCATTAAAAGGGATATGTTGAGAGACCGGTCTTTGTCAAGTGTTCAGTTGACACCAATCACATTAGTGGTTCCCCTGTTTGGGGTGGGCTTTGATTCTATGCAAAAAAATGATTTCTGATTGCTTTCCTGTATCCTCTGACGTTGAAGCTGCTAGCCACAGGATGCTTTGTTTGTGCACCCTAGCATATTGGCAATGCTGTAGACTGGAGAGGAATACAGGAAACACTATACTCAGCCCCAGTGGTATGCAGCACTGCCACTGTAGTGGTCAGATGACTGCTTGCATCACCAAG